ATGACCTAAATGAAGGATAGTGGTCAGAACACCTTTCATCAGAATAGAAGAAAGTAAAATTCATTGAAGAGACTCACATTTCTAACAAATTCAGGTGGATCAGGATATATATATATAGCATTAAATAGATGTACATTTAATGCACATGTATGAATGTTGAACATAAATACTATGCTCTAAGCACTACATATGCAATACCCTCTCTGTACTTACAAATTTAGTTTTGTTTGGCACTTGCTTTGGATTCAAACCATATTTGAGCGATAATGCATGTATCGACCGACATTTAACTATGCTACCTCTATGCTGATGAAAGAAAAATAGATGAGAGGAGTGGACAGCAAATGGAGTTTTATTGATCTTCATTTTTAATGAACATCCTAATAATCCTGGTTGGCTTGATATTTTCTGTATTGATGCTTTTCAGGTCTGTTGCATTTCAGTTGGTTCTTTCCGTAATTCCCAGTACCTGTCATGGAAAAGAAAAGTGTTCTCAAAGAATGCGAGACAAGTTATACTCACTTAGATTTAATTCTACTCACCAGGGTTGGTTATTGGTAGCTTAGCAAGTATGTTCAAAGAACCCCTGTAGTCACTAGCGCCTGTTGGGACTAGGGTAGGCAAGCCCTTTTCACATCTGTGTAAGAGAAGTGCAACTTCCTGTATCTGCTCTTTACCATTAATATAAGACTATAATAGAAACGCTGTTCTGAAATAAAAAATAAAATCCTAAATAATTATTAGTTGCAAAACTATACTTCAATTCAATTTCTCTTAATAGTAAAACTCACCCTGTGTTGAGTTAACCCAAATGTTCATTTTTGAGATGAAAAATATGAAACAAAACTTGTGTTTTCTTTTTACTTATAGTAGCTGCAATCCTCACCGTATTCAGTCCCAACGAATCTGCACCGACAATAACTTTGCTACCTAGAATATGAAGAGGAGGAAAAGCTTTAAAGTATGGTGACCTCCATTAAATTGGCTGTGAATTTTTTAAAACGTCAGTTTTCTGGAGTTTAACTTACTTTGAGCAAATCTCCCAGCATCAGCTAGATAGCCTCAACAGACCATGAACGAAGAGGAACCTATCTGAAGTTTGTAATGCCTCACCAAGCTGACTGTGGAAGGAGTTTGGTAGATCTGCAACCTGCCTGTTAAAAAAATAAAATAAATTAATATAAAGTCAAAAGATGTGTGAGTAAATGTTAATTTAAACAACCTTTGAATTGTAAAACATCTGTACACTTTCAAATAAGTGCCAGATCTAAATTTGTAATCTTCAGGCACTTACTTAAATTCTGATGAAACTTCCTTACTTACTACTAGCCCCCAAACTTAATTGAACTTTGTTTTGTTTGAAGAGGCTGTGTTGCCAAGTGTTTCAAGTGATTAAGCAAAAAGAAAAGAATACTTGCAAAAGTCTAAATTGAAAGTTGGCATATTTATTATGAAACATTAAGTCCAAAGGAACGGCTACCCACTGTAGCCAGTAAAAGAATTTAAAACTTAGTCAACCTGAGGTCCCACTTCTAAATGAACGCAAAATCATTGGTGAATACAGGAGTTGAGAAGTGTAACCTGGGTGGTTGAACTTTAAGTATGAAGATATTATCATTTAAACAATGAGAAAAAAATGACTAGATAATAAGTAGTTCAGATAACATTAACAGGAGGTAATGTAAACAAAACACTGTTACATTTTCATGATAAAAAAATAATTCAATTAAGAAAACCCTACCTCTTATAAGAACAAATAACTGTAGCAATAACGCTTACTTGTTATGTTATCTCTCAAAAAATAATTAAATAATTTGATATGGCACCATACAGAATATTGGTGCATCTACTAAAATCAAATAACAAATAAAATTTCATGTCCAAGGTAACTAGTGACAACTACCAAGAAAGAGTCTATAATAGAAAAAAGAACTTAAACAAAAGTAATTCAAACAAAAAAGTTCAAAATATTTATGAGGCACAGTTCATTTTAAGCCTCAGCAGACGATGCATTTCTAATTGACATCATGACACTCTCAAAGCAAGATTCTCGAGGATTGTCCAAAGGAATTTGATATACATGTACTTGGAGAAAACGGAGAACATTTTTCCAACCCAAAGGGAAATGGAGGTAGAGAGCAAAATATGTCTTAAACAATAAGTCTATTGCATTTGTGGGAGAGGCTTGACGCGGAAGTTCCATGCAGTCCCCATTTCCAGTGACAAGGAATATTTTACCTATTGCCCTTTGATGGCCCACAATCATTAGGTGTGGTTGCACTTGGCACCGGGCAGCTTCTCTCCTCTTGGCTGCCTCATAGCTTGGATCACTGCCCACCTTAAAAAAAAAAAAAAAGAGGAAAGTGCCTTGTGAAACGTAAGCAAAAATCTTACACTTAATGATATGTTTTCTTTGTACTTACGGGAATGATGTGAATTAGATCCTTTGTATCCGGATAAAGATTCTGCTTTGCCTCATGAGCATATGTCCTCCGAGGACATGGAAGAAGCTTGCTGAGTATCAGCAATGCATTAAGTAGTTCTGAAAAGGGAGAATATACATGATTTAACCAGCATTTTAAAACTTTCTAGAAAAGATAAGAATCATTAACAACTAATACATACCATCTGAAAAGTAATCAATAAGCTCGCCAAATTTGTCAGGAGTTTGCCTTGCTATCTTCAAAATATGCGGGACAAAATCCAGAGAGAATGTTCTCAGGAACAACTTGGAGGACTTCGGATGAATCAAGCTAAACTCTTGTTCTATCTGAAAATTAAATTTGAAAATATTAGTACAAAACATTTGTGAAGGAGAGAGTAAGTGCAATCCAAACTGACAGAGGAATGAAAATGATCAAATTGTTGGCATTTTAGTATCAGACATAATTACCACTTCTCCTCCATAAGACAAAAAGTGGGGATATCTATCAAGAGTGAAGTCTGGTGACACCTCCTTAAATTCTAGCTCCTGTCTTCTTCTTTCAAAGGTTTCCCGCATCAAAGACATTATATTGGCCTTTTCAGCAAAAGTAGGCATAAGGTTTCTGGCCTCCATGACCTAAATGAAGGATAGTGGTCAGAACACCTTTCATCAGAATAGAAGAAAGTAAAATTCATTGAAGAGACTCACATTTCTAACAAATTCAGG